AGATAAACATCGATTTTTTGGCAAATAAATGAGAAATATATCACTATATATATATAGCTAGTGGTCTACTGATAATTCACTGTATATTAAAGTTATCATCTCTTATTGACTGTAATAAGATTATAATAAGAACAATATATCAGAATAAAGATATTATATTAGTTACCAAATAAAAAAACCTTTCTTAATAATTATAGTTTAAAAATATTTTGAATGCAAATTTAGTGTATAAGAAGAAAACTTGGAACACGGAGGTGTCAATGATATCTCTTGACTTTTTTCCTTCTCACAGTGGAAATACTTAAGCAAATTGAAAGAAACATCATAAAAACTTATTAAATATTATCTTGTTATGGATTAAGAAAACCTATATAATATAATTTAGTTTTTCTATCATTTTTTAGGTTATAAAGTTTCAGACATTTTGTTGGGAAAAAACGAAAAAAAATTTTAGAAAAAAACATTAAAAATACTCCCTTTCACCTAAGGATTTCAATTTTTTTTATTGTTAATCATAATGTTATAATTTATATATCCAGTCAGTTTTAATTATACAGTAAGAGTGTTTTTGCCCAGGTAAGCATATGTGACCTGTAGAATTAAGTGACCATTCAAAATGGCATCATTATTAACTTTGTCAAGATAGGAAACAATATTCAATAAATAAGGATTTGAGTCATCTGGATATTTTGGCATAACCTATAGTACTCACTAACTCTACCTTAGCTTAACCGATATCATTTCAAAGTTCTGCATCTTAAAAACATAATCTGTGGTTTAGTCCTAAGTCTTCTAAACTTCCAATTAGATTCCTTTGTTCATCTCTACAGGAGCTTCATCTAGTCACTTTTCCATAAAGCCATGAATTATTGTTCAAATGGCTTTATTAACTCCACATTGACATAAACAGTTTATAACCCACTCTATCCAGTTGCACTTAAATGTTGCCTATAGCTATTTTCAAATCTGTGCCTCATTAATAGTTATTCACACTACACATTGACATCACAAAAGGATGGAAACAAAATGCTGTCATAATGAAAACCATCACTAGCAGGAAGGAAAAAAAATGTAAGAATTTGTTTGAAGTTAAGCATAAAGCTACATAATAGGCTATCTGTGCTCTGCCCACCACAGGTATCTAACCCAGTTTTTAGCACTGTAAGTCCGCAAATATACTGTTGTGCCACTAGGGAGCACACGTAAGAAAGAGGATGTGGATATATATATTATCAATGGATGATAGTTTATTATGAAATATAAACTTATGCTTACAAACATTCTAAAAAAATAATAAAAATTGATAAGTGTATTGTTTACAGAGCTGGTCAGAAATGAATGTTGGAATTGCTTTGCAAACTACACTAAACATTGCAAAATTACAAAATATAAATTTTAAAATACATTTTAGTTAAACAATGTTCAGACAATGTTAGAATTATTGTTTTTATTTAAATTTTAATATGCTAGTGTGCACTCAACAGCTGAAAAGTGTTCTTCAATCCAGAGAGAGTTAATCATAATCATTTCATTAAAAAGTTTACATGTATGAAAAACTAATGAAAATTTACAACTGGAATACCTGAAGGTTCTTATTTTCTACTTCTAGTTGGACAAGTTTGACATTTTTTTCCTGAAGACCACTTTCAGCACTTTTCACCTGATCCTGGTAAGATGTGTCAATTTTGTTGATAATTGTTTCAAGTTCCACCACATGTCTATTGACAGGAAAAAACAAGGATATTGTGCAAACATTGAAGTACATTTGTCAAATGCAATAATATCAAAAATTCATAAGGGTATTTTTAACAAGCTAAAGCACAGTAATATCTGAGCAGATAATAAGTTTTTATCCTTTTCATTTTCTTGTTTCTACAGTGTTAGCAAAACACCAGAAAGTAAATGTGACAAAGACAATATTAATACTTAAAAAAACATACTTTAAATAAAAAAATTCACTAACTTTCTTTAATTGTACATGTCTATTACTTATACAAGAATGTCTGAATACAATAATTATCATCCATACTGTTTTAAGTGCCAATTAGTTGTAAATTTAAATATTTTTAAAGCACATGGAGAGTACTGATGATATCTGAAAACCAACCTATCAATTTCTGTTTCCTTTAAAAACTATCTGAAACTGAGTATTTGTTAGTTTAAAACAAATAAAAATTTCTGAATTCTAAGCTTAAGTAGTCTGAAATCATAAACCCTCTTGGAATGGGCATCCTTTTGTGTGCATGTCACAAGGTTTGAGTGAGTTAGATACAAAATTTATCAAACTACTTTCTTATCATGGTATATGAATAAACTTGGCATAAAAGCGTACACAATAATCTAAATTTTAACATTATATAAGTTTTAAGTTTATAAGACCATATTAAAAGAAAATTCTCAATTTGCCTAATTTGAGAATTGTGACATTCGTTTTCTAGGTATCCCTCTTCTCTAATGTATTTACCATTCCTATGAGAAATATGGAATTTAAGGTAAATTACTCATTATAATATTGTCATCACTCAGGCAAAGCATAATTTTTACATCCTTCAATCTTATTTGATTACAGAGTCATAAACTAGAAAATCAGACCCCTCTTGCCACACCCACCTGTCACATTCTCTTTTTCACAAAGTGCCAATAATTCTCTCTGACATTTAATACTATATCATTTATAATCAATAGAAAGCCAGATTTTAATCTATCAAATGACATATTACATTATATTGTTTCCTGTATAGAGAATTGTATATTTCTCTTCCAGTTCAAACTTTATTCCCATGGGAAACATATCGACTAGGTTAGCCGATTTTTAACGGATCTTATCACAGTCAGAAAATTGTGATAATTATAGAACATTTTCTATTTCTTGCATGATATTATTCTGTATTCTTTGGTATATTATTTAAGTAAATAAAAACTATTTAGTGCAGTAGTACCATTAGTATAAAAATGTAGGCTTAAATTTCACTGACAGTCGAGAGAAGAAAAACAGGAGACCCAGGTAAGTACTGTATTTCTTGTTTTTCATGTGTATTCTTTCTTTATTATTATAAAAGTAACTCAAATGTAAAAACTAGAAACCTTTTAGGTTAGATGAGGTAAAATAAAAAATAATAATAAATATTTTTCACAACTTATGTCTGTCCATTACGTAATTCAATAGAGTAACAAAAGCTACATGTTCGGCAAGTTATTTACAACTTTTGTGGCAGGAATATTAGTTAGAAACGATTCAAAGAGCAATAAAACAATAAATCTTATGTATAAACAGAAGTATACTGCTAGGAGATTTAAGCTATTTAGGATAAACAAATGTAGTTTCACATTACAATTTCAAGTCATTCTAGAAAGAATTTAGATTTATTTCATATTTTTATGGTGGTTATGAGGTCAGTCAAATTGACCAGCCTTGTTTAAAGTTCGGGTAGAGATAAAATATAAAGTTTTATTGAAAAAAATGTTATTTAATGACTTAGGAAATTCTATAGATTACATAAATGAAATTTGAAAATTTTCAGATGAATAAAAGTATTTTTAATCTTAATATGAAAACCACTTTGCACTTGGACTAGTAAACAAAACCACTAAACATATTCACAGAGAAATCTTTATTAAGAATACCTCATTTAAAAATATGATTTTTTGAATACGAAGATCTTTTAATGTTTACTGATAGTGTACCACATTTTGTGAAGATTCACATAGTGTATTAAAAGTTATAGTATGGAAACTGTAACAAGTATTCGTTGGTTACAAACTCAGTTGATTCAACCAAGCCCATGTGGAAAGTGTTAAAAGTCTTTGAAATGAATTATTACTCGATTAATGTATCTTAAGGATTACCAAAATAAAATATTAATGGCACCCTGTATACAAACTTCAAACTTACTAGCACAGTCATGGTTCCACTGGTTAAATCTATCAAAATTGTACATTTCAGAGTATGACTATATTTGATTCAAGCATAGTATACAACAACTAAATAACTTACAATATGCTAAGCCAGAAAACAAAACTTATACTGTTTATAAAATTATAGAAAGTTCTAGATGAATAATCTTTTTTTTTCTTCTTTTCAAAATCTAACATACTTTTTATAACTGTTTAACTGGGTCTCTGCTTCCAGCTTTTGATTATTCACTTCAGTCAGGTCTGATTTCCACCGATCTCTCTCTTGAGTCAGTGCAAGAAGTACATGTTCCTGTGTTATAGAATTAATATTACAAAAGTTATAAGAGAGCTTGAAGCATTTAAACAACAATCACTTTGATCAGAATTGAAATTCAGGATAAGTCAAAAATGAACACCATCTAACTGATGATTTCTCTAACTTTTGACTGGTATCATTGTGGTGTACAACATCATGTATCCACCAGAATCATTGGAAATCCTACTTACATAGGTTTACAGGATTTATCAGAAAAAAAAAGTTTGGTATGGGAAAAGATGTATTTCTCTGTGGCAAATTAAACTGAGGACAGATAATATTATACCAAATGCATAAGCATTACAGTTTAGGAACATTATTTCTTATAATAAAAAAACCTGTTCAAATGAATCAGTAGAACAACAGTTGTGGAAGAACACGTTGCAGAATTGTTTACAATTTTCTTTTCAGTTGGATAAAATAATGCATCAAATAAACTATCTATCCATTTCATTCTGCTCCTCATATCTCTCTTTGTTTATTTGCAGTGTAGATAAAGGATGAACACTTTGTTCTTCAATGAAAAAAATTAATTATTATTAGTTATGCTCTTTGGAAATGCACATCAGAGAAGAAAGCCCTAAAAAGTGTTTAATTTTAGGTGAGTTACAAGAATGATTAAAATGTTACATAAGAAAATGATATTAATTTACATTTTTCTTTAAATACTAAATCTAAAGTATTTTAATTTTACTTTGCCAAATTAAAAAATATAGCACTTATTTCAGGTAGAGGCAAAATAATTTGACATTTGTTGCAATTATAGTAATAACAGTTTATACCATCGAGATAGGAAAATATAATCAGAACAACATAAATAATAAAATGACCTAAATGTTTGTTTAAAAGCTTTTTTAGATAAAAAAAAACAACAACAAAAAATTGAGAAACTTTCACCACACCTCATATGTGTTTTTAGATCTATTTATCCTATGTTTTTTTTAACTTCTAGCTTTCCATCAACAATAACAATATTTTACCTTTTTTAATAATGAGGATGCCTAATTGGCCAAAGCTCAAGAATTAAATAACTTATTTAACAAATATTTAGTCCCTAAATGTGAAGGATAGCTTCTATATTGTTGGTTCACTTAATCAAGCTGATATCCCAGTTGTCAGAAGTTAAGTTTTTTTCTTAACTGAAACTGTATTTCTGATAGATACTCATCTCTCCACACCAAAAGAGCTAGAATACAACATTAAAGATGGTGAGAGGCCAGTGCAGGGAACTTACAAAGAGGAGCTCCTTTCTGAAAACAGCATAACAAAACAAACAAAATTCCATGGCATGAGGCAGGAGATAGCTGCCTAATTGGGCAGTAGTAGATGGGAGACTGCATCCATTTTAAGCAGGGAATAATCTTCACCAAACAGAGGTGGTAGAGCAAAAGATATTGTCATAATCATAAGGATCTATTGCCAGATGTTAACATGTTGCTAAGGTGGGAAGAATGGCAGATTGCTCGACCATCCACTATCTCACAGGGAGAACAGCTCAGCATGAGTGCCTGATTTGGCTAGGGCTAAAAATCAAGCCATTTTGTATTGTAGAAATATTTAACTGAGATACGTACCACAAAAGTCAGGTGAAACAAGTATCACCCTAGACCTATGTCTCAAAGTAAACCCAAGAACCTAACCACGGGGAAAAAGTTTGGTTAATAATGTGTGGAGGTCCTGTAATACATTACCAGGTAACAACCCAGCTCTACATCTCAAACAAGGGGTGCACCCACTTGGTTTTGCTGGAAGAAATGTGGAGGGTGAATGTAGTCATTAGGCACAATCATCTGGAATTAGGCCTCATACTAAAAGACAGGGCAATGGATTAATTATACCTGTTATCAGATGTTAGTATCAGGCCTAATGTATTTTTTATACTGCACTTTTTATCTAGTCCCTTATGAAGCATTTGTGGATGTTAAGCACTTTTATATATGAAAATGCTTCAGAAAATTAAATAAAAGATTAAGAAGAATTCACATATTACGAAGTCTCTGAATATAATGTATATGTAAAAAGAAATAGCGTGAGAGAGGTCACCTAAGCTAAGAAAAGATCGAGAACTAGTAGGCAAAGGACCATTAATTAGCATTGAATTAAATGTCATAAAAAACAAAATTTAGATGAACTGATGCTAACTCATCCGTCAGAATGCTAGATGGAATTCAGTGAAGGTCAATCATGAGACTGATGCTACCACCACAGAGAAAAAGTTACCAAGAAAGTTTATGTTAAAGGACTTTTGATGTAGGACTGATGACAAGAAAAGTGTGGAGCAGTATAAGTGAATAAAATGCCAATTTACCAACTCCTGCTAAAACCAATCATTAGAGTTTTTGTTTTGGGTTCTGGAAAGTCCGATGAGTTGCAGAAATTATCCAAGGAAGTGTCAGACCTACTTGTGGATAGATGTGCACATTATTTGGAAATTCACAAGGACACTAAGAAAAGATGATATAAAAACCCTGGTTTGGGCTGAACAGTTAGTTGATATTAACCTCCAGTTATCGAATACTGAAGTCAGTTCTCCAGTTCTCTACAATGCTGAAATTATCATCGATCCAAAGAAGTCAGAACATCATCTCAACCTCGATGTAAGTAGTAAATGCTATTCTCTCAATTGATTAATGTACTTAGAAAACTGAAGTAGAATATATAATGTTACAGGAAACTTGGAACTTAAGCATGTCTGAGTATAATCCTTCTACTGTTCCAATTGAAAATCTGTTGAGCAACTTGATAACAATTATAGAGGATTTGCTTAATGAACTAAACGAGTATTTAATGTGAAAACTGTATTTTGATTTCGAATATATATATATCAAATCTCAATGTGTTTTTAGAACTTCAGTCTTATAGTTGATTCTTTATTCTAACTGTAAACTACCTCGAGTTAGTGAATTGTGTACTCTACTCACAGCTTTATACCTGGATTTAATATAAATCAGTTGTGACTTGTGGTAAAGTCGAGCTCCAACGACTAGCCTACACAGCCTGCCTGGTGCAGTCAACAGGATTTTTGGAATAATTAACAACAGGTTGGATAGAGTAAAGAAAGAGTAGAAGTAAGTAAGCCAGTTTTATATATTATAAGTAGCATGAATAGAATGTACGTTGTAAATAAGCAAAAATGGTTACTGCTGGCATAGATACTACTACAGAAGATGGTAGTGTATGCCCTAGAGTTCATAAAAGGGCTGAAGTAAATTTTGAAAATGCAGTAGATCAACCAGCACAAGTAGGTCCACGTGGCACTATGCACTTAACGGCTCCTATATCGCTGTTTCACAGTAGGCTCGACAAGGATATCGAGGGTTTTATAGATGCTTTAAACAAAGCTGCTAGAATTTGAGGTTTGACCAATGTTCAGAAAACAGATATTTTGAGACTGAGAACAGCAGGAGAAGCAAAACGTTACATTAGGGCTTATAATGAAATGTGTGAAACCACAGATTTTCAGTATTTAGTATGAAGGTCAATGGAAGAATATAGAAAGCGAGAAACACCAAATACAATCCAGACACAAATACATAACTTAACTCAGCAATGAGATGAATCAGTCAGGGTATTTGGGCATAAGCTACAAGAGTTAGGAAATAGTTGTAGCAGGAGTCAAAATTCTTGAATCTGAGATGAGAATGGAACCAACAACTTGGTGCACAATGGTGGTAACAGCATTGACGATCAAAGTCTCTCGAGTTGTCTTTACAGTACTGGATGATGACTCCTGTGAAGGAGTGTTAGAAACCTCAGATGTCAGAAATTTGGGAATATGAATGTATAATCAGTTAATCCATGAAACTGGTGCTGTGGTGGTCTGTTTTGAAAAACAACAACATAGAAGACAGATTTTGTTGTTGTTGTTGTTATCAGTCAGAAGGTAAATGGGGAGCAGACAATGGGTCATATGTCCCAAAAACTTCAAAGTTTATTAAAAGAAAATCAAATTGAAAAGAATTTTAAAGTTTTAATTTACAAACTTAAGGTTTAGTATCTTTCTTTTATAAAAACTAGGGAAAAGAAGACCATGAAATGTTAAAACAATAAATGCATAAATCCTGCTAAATCTCATGAAAAAAATAATGTCTGAAGACAAACAGTGACGAGGAAAGAACAATCTTGTGTTAACATGCTAATGCTCATGGAGGAAGTATCACCCTCCTGTTGGTGGAGGGCTATAGTTAAATGAAATGATGATTACATCATAGGTTGGCACAATACAGTTTAATGTGTGTAAGAACTTGCACAGCAATGTATGTGAGGTAGTGTTTCTGAAAATTCTTCTGTATTTTTAATATAGTTTAGATACACATGTATGGCAAGTAATAGACAGCTTTTGTTTTTTTACAACACACAGCCCACACTGAAATCTTAATTTATTATGTCAACAAAATACATTTCAAATAAGAGAAGGTCATATATAACAATTCATATTTATCAATCATATTAATAATTGAACAATTTGAGTAAATTGTCTAATATATTTCTCTTTCTACATAACACAAACCTTTTCTTGTGCCAAACGAGTCATTTTCTTGGCCAATTCTTCATTGCTATCAGCCCTCTGTCTTTGGACTCTTTACAGTGATAAAAAAAAAAAGGCATGAAAAACATTAAATATCTATATACATACATAAAACTAGTACAGACACAATGGACAAAAACTAAAAATAATGCAAATAAAAGACACATAAGTAAAGCTATGGTGAAAACTACACTGTATGAAGATGTCTGTAGAAACAAACACAGACAGAAACAGGAATATATTACAAGAGATTTAAACCCTATTCATCAGTCTTATATGTGGAAGAAACATAAATATAAAAAAATTAAAACTGCCAAATCTGATAAGAATTATTTTGGGGTGGCAGACAAGTATAATGATGACCTTAAATACTGTATGTTTATTCTGATAAATATGTTGTTCTTCCTAAAATATTAGTGTAAAATATGATAACATTTTTGTATTTATGCCCAACTTCAGATAGCTGGTTTCAAATGTTTCAGAATTGAATTACAACTATTATTCTTAGTTGAATATAAATGTTATAGATATTTTACTAATAATTAAATTGGTAAACTGGAAAATTCAAGTCGGAATTCAGAACCTTCATTATTATGTATTTAGTTTGTATTAAAACTTTTGTTTTCTAAGTCACTTCCTGTATTTTTTTGTATGACTTAGCTGTTCTAAGGGTGACATGAAATAGCTGAAACAAATTATTAAGCAACTTTCAATAAGTAAAACAGTTGACAATGCAGCCAAGGATTTAACTATATACAACTGAAAAAGTCTACATTGTTTCTTTTGCATGCTTATTTTTGAGATAAAAGAAAGTTAAATTTTCAAAATAATATAAAACACTAACTAAACTTTTAAAAAAGACAACTCAGTTTAAATACAAAGACCACAATAATTAATTCAATAAGGGACAGACAACAAAGAATAGTAACAATTACAAAAAACGTTTTTGGCACAGTAATAAGTAAAATTACTTAATATAACTACTTACAGCCAATTAGTTTCCGTATATGTGTTACCATCATCGGGGTAAAATTCTAAATCGATCGTTAAGTAAGTATTTAGTTCCGACCGTTAATGGGTGAATTCATTTTTGAACAACAAGATAAAGAGAGGGGGGGGGGGTAAGTCATGTGCTAGAATATTCAAGATAAACGGGTCTTCCAATAGGACATGTTGATTGGCCCATCATCTCTGTTTATATATAGGGGTCTGTATTTGATTATGCAAGAAGTTTCTCTCAAGTTTTTTTCTGTATTAGTTGGTGTGCATCTTCAAATTTTTACATTATTCCAATCATAAGTACCATCACAGTTCCAGAAGTGTTTGGCTACAGCAGAAGATGTTATATACCATGTTTTACAGGAAACTGGTATTCTTTCAATCTTATTTCTAATTTCCTTCTTGTTTGTCCTATTTACATTTTACTGCAACTGTGTTGGTATATTCCATCTTTATCTTCAGTCTTTTTTGGATCTTTGAGTGTTTGTAACTGGTTGGCAATTTTGTGTTGAGGAATGAATACTACTTTATAATCCTTTAATTGGAATGCTTTTGTAAATTTTTCAGAAATAAATGGAAAAAATGGTATACCGATGAACTTATTTAGTGACGATTTTAATGGAATTTGTTTTGAGTATTTCACTTGTAGTTTTTCTTTCATTTTGTAGAAAGCTCTGTCAATGCCTATAGGGTCGTAACTTCTATCCACAGCTACTGCTTATAAGTATATTTTGTTGTTGTTTATTTCCGTGATGTTAGAACATACATTGAGGGCACGCACATGTGTAGAATGTACTTAGTTTCTGACTTAAAGGGTGATTAGAATTGTAACGTGGTGGCATGCTGACAGCAAACTGTTTCAAAATACACTAAATTTGAATTTGTTGTCATGTTTTTAACAAGAACATCTAAGAAAGATAGTTCATGTTCACTGGACTCCATGGTAAATTTAATTCCTATTACATTGTCATTCATGTAGTTCAGGGTTTCACTGATGTTTCGCCATATCATGAAGGTGTCGTCTACATATCTTCTGTACCCTGTACGTTTTATTACAGCTTCCTGTAACTTGGTGTCTTCATAAACATCCATAATTATGTCACCCAAAACAGAAGATAAAGGGGAAACCATTGCAAGACCTTTAGTTTGTTGGTAAAATTTGTCATTAAGTTTGAATATGCAATTTTGCACACAAAGTTTGGTAAGATTAATTATGTCTTTGATATATTCTAATGGTAACTCTTCAATGTCAAGTAATTTGTTAAGTAAAGTATCTATATCTTTGTTACTGGAATATTTCTAAACAAGGAAACAACATCTAATGATACAAGCAAGTCATTCTCTTGGATATCAACATGTTTAAGATCTTTCACAAAGTCAATAGTTTTTAACAGTGTGTACACTTATTGATATTTAAATCAGACAGTTTTTTAACCAACAATGTAGCTAAAGAGTGTGTAGCTGAATTTAAACTACTTACAATGAGTCTGTATGGTACAGTAAGTTTGTGTATTTTAGGTAAATATACATTTTGGCTGTGTTGCAGTTGCCAGGAATACAATTTCTTTTTCTCCTGGTCTGATAAAAAGTTTGAGTTATTTACAGCAGATTTAACATTCTCCAGTATGTGTTGTGATGCATCTTTCTTCAGTTCTTTGTATGTTTCACTTGTAATAATTCTGAGATGTCATCCTCAAAATGCTTGGAGTCTACAATGTTAGATTGCCTTTGTCAGATTTTTTATGTCCTTGAGTTTGCTTGATTCTTTTTGGATGTTTCATGATGTTTGTAGTCACAACTCTTTTCTTAATCTGTGGTTTCTAACCCCTTTTCACATCAACAAATTTTTACCACTTATGGTTTACCTAAACACACATAATTTGAATTTTTCATTACCAGAAAGGTATAATGTTAGGAAAGCTTACAGTTAAAATGACTTTATTGGTTATTCAACTGATTTACATTTAATATCTTGTTATTCCATACCCAAACAGAGTACTAAACATTGGTTTGTAACCAAATGATTCATATCAGAAACACAACTCTGCATATCTCAACTTAAGTGATAAAATAACTGTAAGCTGTGGCAAACAAATAATTCACTTATGATGCTACAAACATTTTATTGTTTGAGAATTTTTTTAATGTTTATGTCAGATTTTATATTTTTTATAATGATTTTAGATATGTCATTAATAAACTATCCTTACTTAACAGCCTTCTTTAGTGCCTCTTTCTCTGCAGCTGTCTTCTTTTGTATCTCTTCTAAAAGAAATTTAATTTTTTTCTGTTCCTCCAGGGAAGCATGATTTTCACTTTGCTAGAAGTTAGGTATATAAAAAAAAAGACTATAAATGTATGTTTGATTACCCACAAAAGATATTTTAACTAATCAAAAAGAGTAATATTCAGAATCACTAATTTTGATTAGAGGATTATTTTCATGGGTTGTAACACTATAAAATTAAACTGAAGAACTCTGACTTAATCAAATATAATAACAAAATATCATTATGGCAATATTATGATCAATTGGATATTTAGAATAATTGAAAACAGTAATAATCAGAAACACTTATTTTAGTTATATTAGTTGATTATGCTTGCTACATTTATCAATTTAGTCATAATTTTAATTAACCAGTTTTTTATATGATACTAATTGATGTAACTGATGCTGATAGGTGATTATATTGATTACTAACCAAATTCAAATAATAGACCCAATTTTGACACATACGATAAATGTAAAAGTAGAAGTATTTTTTCTAGATGTGTAATTCAGGTTCCACAATATACAGATACAGTAACATTTAGAACTATGTGTGGTATGCAGGTACCATATATCTCACTTTCCTATGGCATTATTTCATATTTACAAATTAAAAAAAATGTCTATAATTTACCTCAGAACATGATTAATATGGTCAAGGTTTTATGTTAATTCCACCCTTGGTGTTACTTTCTGCAACATGATTGAAGCAAGGAGACAACTTACTATGCTATGGGATAGTGGTATCATATGTGACAGATAGTAGTTAGACATGGTTCAAAGGGCAATAAAACAATAAAATTTAATTATAAATAGATGTATACTGTTATGAACCTAGAAGCTACTTAGGATAAATGAATGTTAGCATAACATGAGCTGCACATTCCCCGAGTGATTTACAACTTATAATGGCATATATAGTAGTTAGACATGGTTCAAAGGGCAATAAAACAATAAAATTTAATTAGAAATAGATGTATACTGTTACAAACTTAGAGCTACTTAGGATAAACGAATGTAGTTTATGTTACAATTTGAAGTCATTCTAGAAAGAGAAAAAGGGTAATTTAGGTTTATTTCTATTTTTGTTTTGGTGGTTATGAAGTTGATCAAATTGACCGATCCTGTTT